CCCCAAAACCCCAAAACCCCAAAACCCCCAAAACCCCAAAACCCCAAAACCCCAAAACCCCAGATTTTAGGGGAATATTGATAAATATTAAGTATCTTGGTAAGGTAAAGTATGGGTTTGATGGCTCTGGATAATTAAATGTAGACTTCTCATGCAGCGTATTCAAGAGGTATTGTTTGGAATCAGAGAGTCGAAATATAAGAAGAAATCAAGTCATCAAATTTTGAAGAATAATAGCACGAGTGAGGCTCCAGACACTTTTAACGCTCTGGAATTTCTAAATGAGTTGGAAGAATATAAAATGAGTGAAGTTGGACCTGCTAATAGCTTAGTAAGTCATGCAGATAGAAACTTAAAGACAGATAGTGTTAATAAAAGTAGTAAAGGAATTTTACAAGATCCTGAAATCACTTCTCAGCATGTCCCGAACCAACTAAGTTATAAATTCATCTTCGATGCAAATTCTAGAGTATACGGAGGAAGATTTACACAAAATGGCAAGCTTTATTATTGCTCAAGTCAAGATATCATTGGAATTTATGATGCTTACGATCCCTATGACATGAAGAAAATCAAGACAGTAAAAGCCTTAGATGTAAACTGGACTATTACAAGCATGGACACTACAGAAGATGAGGAAAGACTAGTCTACTCCTCAGCTACACCTTATCTACACATCTTAGATCTCCAAACTCTTTGCAAATTTCATGCTAAAATCGATTTGTCGGATAGCCAAGAAGAAGCTGAGATGAGCTATCTCAATTATGCTGGCGTCTTCAATTGTAAATTTTCTGGTGATGGCAGCGAGATTGTTTGCGTCACAAACACTGCTAAAATAATAGTGTATGACCTTAATAAAGAAGAAAAGGTGTGAAATATTCCAAATACCCATCTTGATGATATAAACACCGTTTGCTTCGCTAATAGGAACAACTCTAACATTCTCTTCACGGGTTCTGATGACTATATCATCAAGGCATGGGACAGAAGGATAATTGAGTCTAACAAACCTATCGGTTGCTTTATTGGTCACAGAGAAGGTGTCACCTCAATTGATTCTCGAGGAGATGAGCGTTACGTTGCATCAAATGGCAAAGACCAACAATTAAAACTTTGGGATATTAGGAAAATGAACGATATCAGTGATCTCAAGAAAGCTACAGGCCTTGGTGCCATGGAAAACTTTGATTATAGATGGATGGATTATACATATAAGCCTTTAGATAGACACAAGCTGGATAACTCGGTGATGACATTTAGAGGGCATACTATTCTTCAAACTTTAATCAGGTGCTATTTTTCTCCACAAGAAAATACAGGTCAGAGATATATCTATTCTGGTTCTGCTGATGGTTGAGTGTATATATTTGATATCATGACTGGTGAAAACAAGACATATATTTCAAATGAAACAGCCAATTGTATTAGAGATGTATCATGGCATCCTAAAGTTCCTGTAATAGCAGCCACTTCATTCTCAGGAGATATCTCGGTATTCACTGAGGATGACTCAAAACCTCTTCCTAAAAGAAATTGAAGAAGAAAATGAAGAGAAATTTCAGGTTACTATGGAACAAGTAGAGAATTCAGTTCTGAAGAAGAGGAGTTTGATGAACAAAATGAAGTTTTATCTGAATTATATTCAGAATCTTTATATTCATAACTAAACTAAAGTTTCCATAACGTCACACAAAGTTGGGGTTTTGGGGTTTTGGGGTTTTGGGG